ATAACATTCCCATCCCCAGGTCAGCCTTGATTCCATCTACAACCCTAATTCCCCCTTGCCATGTGACATGACATATTTATACTTTCCAAGGATTAGGAAGTAGGGATCTTTGGGGTAGGGTAGTGGGGTGTTAATTCTGTCCACCACACCAGATATCATACACATTTGAGTTAAACTTTTTTCCCCAGGTCTATTGAGGCATTATTGGTATATAACATACATAAATGTAAGGTGTACAATGTGAAGACTTGATACATACATATATTGCAAAATGATTACCACAATAAAATTAGTTAATATCTCCAACCTCTCACATAATTACTTTTTGTGTGTGGTGACAGCATTTAAGATGTGCTCTCTTATCACCTTTCAAGTATATAATACTGTACTGTTAACTATAGGCACCATACTGTTCATAGATCCCCAGAACTTAAATCTTGTAACTGGAAGTTTGTGCCCTTTGACCAAAATCTCCCCATCCCTCCTATTCCCTCATCCCAGCCTCTGGCAAACCACTAATCTACTCTGTTTCTATGATTTTGGCTTATTTAGATTCCACATATAAATGAAAACATACAGTATTTGAGTCAAAATTCTTAAAGATTTTTTTTTATCTACAATAGTCACACACACACACACACACACACACACACACACACAGAGAGAGGCAGAGACACAGGCAGAGGGAGAAGCAGGCTCCATGCAGGGAGCCCGATGTGGGACTCGATCCTGAGTCTGCAGGATCATGCCCTGGGCTGGAGGCAGCGCTAAACCACTGAGCCACCGGGGCTGCTTTGAGTCAAAATTCTTAAAACAACCAAAACAGGTTAATTATTTGAAATACTTAGAAGAAACAAGGGCACCTGGGTGGCTCAGTTGGTTAAGCATCTACTTTCAGCTCAGGTCATGATCCCAGGGTCCTGGGATCGAGTCCCAAGTTGGGCTCCCTGCTCAGCTCTTCTCCCTCTGCCCCTGCCCTCTATGTGTGCATACTCTCTCTCTCTCAAAACAATAAAATCCTTTACAAAATTATAAAAAATATATTCAGAGGAAACAAAGCTACACGAAGATAGGATGTACCAAATTTTAAACACCAGATACTACCAGTGTATTAATTTGGGCTGCCAATTTCATTTGTTTTAGTGTAACCCTTAAACTGAAGCTTCTCCTGCAGTTTCTGTGTATGCATCTCATCTTGGGGGAGGTTTAATTGTGTCACGTGTTTTGTTCAGCTAGAGCAAAGCCATTAATTTCCTCCAGAGTGTCAATTATAATTCTAAATAGCAAAGTTTTTACACATTACATACTTACATTTTCCTGAAAGACAATTGGCCACATCTTGAAGTACTCCAAATGGCCACTTATCACTTGAGTAACAATTTACTGAAGAAAGGGATCAAAGATTCTTTTTAAAATGCAAAATGGAGGAAATGAAGTGTGCTAATTTAGCACATCAAATTTTTATTTTTAATTATTTTACAGGATTTTAGGCAGGAGGAAGGGCTAATATACATAGGCTCAGTCTGCCATCTTGATCAGCTAACTCTTTTCCAAACACTTGTAGGGTAGCTCCTAATGTAAATACACCCAACAATAATAATAAAAAAGAATTATTAACATGTTCCAGGAATGAGGCTCTGTCATTTAATGGGGTGATTCAGGTCAAGCCACATTTTCTTTGTTTATAATATTTAGAGGAAAAAATAACATGGCCTAGAGGAATTGCCTAGATAACACATACACAATGTTTAATAGTGCAGGCACATGACAAGGCCCTCAATAAATGATAGTTTCTTGTCATCCTTATTACCATTAAGAGTAATGAAAGAAAATATACACTGATCAATGTAATTATAAGTTATTGGAAATTGTCAAAGAAAACCAAGTATAACAAGGCTTACATACTGTTGGTGTGTTACCTTTGCCATAATGGGATGTAGTTCAAAAGCTTCAGTGATTCTTTTGTGATCCTTACAAATGGAAGCATAAAGCGAAGGAGGGCCTTGTGTTAGTCCTTCCTGAAAAAATATCAGTTTAGATATTTATTGAGAGGGCAGCTGGGTTTGAAAAGATTTAAACTTTGATGTACCTAATAGAAAAGCCTTTTTTTGGTGGTGGTTTGTTGAAGCTCATAGGGCAAATCAAAAGAAACCAGGACATTAGAAAGATCTTGGGGAAGTTAAGTATCCTAGAAATGGGTGAGCTGGTTCATAGCTTCTCCCTCTCCCGGACCCTCCCCCAAAACATAAAAACTAAAAGGAAAAGTGGACAACACATTGGAATTGCTGAAATTTTAATGTTTTCAAGCCTGATGTAAAGGAACTGTAGGTACATTCCTGGTGCTTCAGTACAGTCAGGTGACATCATCAAAGACTTCACATTCAAATCTTTTCATTTCCCTAAAATTGAATCAGGTTTAAGGAGATGGGTAGAAATTCAGCTTACAGTTTTTCTAAATCATATTGTAGCCATTTGTTCCAACTCCAGTCACTAAGTTACTGCTCTTTTCCACTGGGACTCAAGTAGTCAGGAGTATAGCCTGTAGTAGCTATTGGTTTCTTTGTCTACCATCCCCTTCTCCCTGACTTCTGAAAAAATGAAAACAAAACCAAAACACTACACCCTGGCCACAGGGGTGGGCAAAAGACCAATCAGACCATTAGAATCCGTCCCAGGGAACTTTTCAATTTGGGGTTGGCAGTAGAGAGCTTTATCTGCTTTGATCGTGAATGTGTAAGGAAGTCTAGAGTTGTCTGATCAAGAAGGGGTGGCAAGTCCCCATCGTGCTGAGGCTCTGGTTCTAGTTGTCCTGAGGCCAGTTCTATCACTGCTGTGGCTTGACAGTGTGATCACTAAATATTCCTTTTTGTGTAAACTAGATCTGTGTGGGTTGCTGTTACTTGAACTGGAAAAACGTTTTCTTATAAACTAAATTCTTAAGTGTATTTGTGTCTATTTTTATTTTCACTCTGTTCCCACTGATCTACTTTTCCCTTCTTCTCTAGTGTTTAAATTTCTCTACATTTTAAAATCTTTTAGGACTAAGTCCCCATCATTACGCTTCATACAGCCTTTTAGTTGAATTAACCTAGAGAACCATTGACTGGGGCAGGGGAAGGTCATCCTGGACTGCAGATCTAGCTATTTTGGTTTCTGTAAAGGTTCCATGCCACCTCCACCTCCCCCACAATCTTGCCATCTCTAATCCTAAATTAAGTTGGTCAACTATACTTCAATTAAAAATAAATAAGAATAAATTAATTCGAGGTTACTACTCAGTTTCTTGTAAATTGGTTTAGCAAGAATTGGGGCTTACCTTCAGGCTTGCTTACTTGGACAGATTAATGAAATGGAGGTTTCTGGATTCAAGAAAAAATGAAGACTGGACTCTGAACCACTAGGAGTGCATCCCAAGTGGCCAGCAGGCTAGCCAGCTTCTCTTTTAGAACCTCTTTAGCTGCAACAAATGGGACATGTGTAGTGAAGCCCAAGATTTTACTAAGACACTGGATGCCATACTTTGGTTCATATGAAGGGTGAAGTGTAAATGAAGAGATGTAATGCTAGGGATAAAATCAAGGCCAGGAAAGGGACACTTAGGAAGGGATACAACGGGAAGATTCTACTAAGACAATATCGTATGAATGTTAGGTGAATAGACTTTAGATGGGAGAACCTGGGTCTGAATCTCTACTGTGCAACTAACTTGTACCTGACTTCGGAAAAGTTATTTTAATTTATCTGTGTCTTAGCTTACTCCTCTGTAAAATGGGAATAATAATAATAATATGGGCCTTACAGTGTTGTTGTAACGATTAAATCAGTCATATGAAGGACTTAGCTTATAGAAATTACTAGGTGAATGATGGTTCTAATAGTCTAAAATGTTAAGGCACAAAGAACTCAGACTGTGGATCTTCTTGCAATGTTTCCAGTGGATGTCTCAGATAGGCGAGTAAAACTTTAAGCCAGGCCAGTGCTCAAAAACATTGCTAGTTATTACCTTTTTTCCTATAGATAACCACCCATGTACATTTGAACTATAAATCTAAAAAGGGATGGGAGAGAGGTAATATTTAAGTTGTGTTTAAAGAGAATCTTTGAATTGTTAATTTGGGAAGTGTTCATTCTTTGCCCAGGTTCCTACTTTCCATGAAGGACGGGCTGAGTGCCATGTGGCATACAAAGATGATAAAAAAGGTCTAGACCCTCCAGGAGATTTCAAATGAGTGGTATGAAAAAAACCATGAGCATAATGAAGGGCTCAGGATACTTTGAGGAGGGGAAGAACCCATGTATGGGGTGGATTGAGGATGGACTTGGACAATTTCATAGAGGAGACAGTATTTGAGAATTTGTAGTTGACATTTGAAGCATATAGTGTATTTTTTTTAAAAAGATTTTATTTATTTGTTCATGAGACATAGAGAGAGAGGCAGAGGGAGGAGCAGGCTCCCTGCAGGGAACATGATGCGGGACTTGATCCTGATCATGACCTGAGCCAAAGGCATATACTCAACCACTGAGCCATGCAGGTGCTCCCAAACAGTACATTAAAAAAAAAAAAAAATTATTTACTTGAGTGAGAGAGTATGTGTGTGAAAACGAGTTGGGGGAGGGCCAGGGGGCACGGGGCTTGATCTCACCACCCTGAGGATCATGACTTGAGCCAAAATCAAGAGTTGGATGATCAACCAACTAGGCCACACAAGTGCCCCCATACAGTACATTTTAAACTAATTTTTCATATACTAGGGGTAGCATAAAACAATTAGGAACTGAAGGGTTTGGAAATCCCAGGGAAAATTCTGGGATTTCAAATAGTCTAGTTTGATGAAAAAATGTATAAGAGAATAATAAAAGGTCTGGCTATAAAGGTAAGCTGCAGATATGTTGAGGCCGTTGGATTTCATTTTGTGGTGGACACTAGATTTTTGAGCAGAGAGATAATGTGCAAATATTGAACAAGATGGATTATTAGTGGGAAGGGTGAGAGGTATATTCAAACATCATCCACAGTTCTTAATATATAATTAAAATGTATTTTTTCATTTATAAATGATAGAGAATACTTAATAAAAATATGTACAATAAATCATTCATATTTGAAAATGCTTGTCAGACAGCTTCATGCCTTTTCAGAAGAGGCTGCAATACTGGGAAAATCAGAAGGCAATCTCAATAACTCTTCCACTTCCTCTTGTAAAGCCTCTGCTTTCTCATGTAACAGCATCTACAATAAAAACATCAAGACATGAGGCCAAAATATACATTGCCAGAGAACTGCTAACATTTTTACCACTGTCTATTAGATACTTGAATCCCTGCACATCAGTAATCTAGACATTAAAACTAATAATGAGATTGAAAAATAGCCACTTAAGCACAAGCGATTATAGTAAATGAAACTGAAGCATTTAGCTAAAGTCATTTTAGCTGATCATTGCATTTGGTATACCAAAAATAAAGGAGCTTTAATACTCTCAAAGATTTGTTTTATTGAAGACTCAACCACTTAAAAATTAACTTTTAATCTATAAAATTTAAGGCAATTTTGCAAAAATTTAATTAGCTCTTAAAATGTTATCCTTTATATATACTTTTTATTATTCTTCAAAGTTTAGTATGCTATGTTTTAAAAACCTATCAGTGTTTCTTTTTTTTTTTCCTATCAGTGTTTCAAAGAAAAGTTTTATTCAAGCTCCTAAAATTAACATAGCTAATTTCAAAAGAAACATAATGAGCCAAGAAAGTATTTATGAACATGGCACATAGTACATGTCAAAGAATATTTGCTGAATAATGATTTTCCCTCTTTCTTTTAAAAACCAGAAAAAGGAGCACCTGACTGGCTCAGTGTAAGACTCTTGGTCTTGGGGTTGTGAGTTCTATCCCCACAGTGGGTGCTGGGATCACTAAAAAAAATCTTTAAAAACAAAAAGCAAAAAACCAAAAATACAGTTTGGGTATTTGCTGCAGCTGGTTGTTGTGTATACTGGGGTGCAGTATTTGCATTCCTTCTGTTTTAAAAGTTTTATAACAAAAAAGTTCAGCAAAATCATATCAAGGCAAAATTCACAGGACATAAAATGAAAGTGAAAAAGCCCACTCTACCCATTTGACATAAAGCATAGCATTATACAGCATTATATATAGGATGGATTAAAATGCTATCAGTAAGCTTTCCAGTAGCTGAGGTAATGGTGACCATGTAAAACTAATCTCCCAATACATCCTCTAAAAACTACTCAGATCAATGAGAACAGCAAGTAAACTGCACAAAACCCATGTGCCAGCATTACTAGAATACAGAGAACATTATCACCTTCATATTATAGTTAAGACTACCTGCCAATTTCCAGTAGAACCATTTCTCAAGCTCCCACTCCAAGGGATTGCAGAGATCAAGGTGAGATTGAGGAAAAAAATACAAGGGAAGGAGAATAAGGAGACAGAAGGTCTTAGAGTAAATACTGTCACCTTCAGAGAGAGAAAGGCTATCCCAAGTATAAAAATACTGAGAAAAGACTATTGGTAGATTGAAGCACTGTCTATAAGAAGGGACTTAAAGTACATGAAACTCTAGAAAGGCAGTCTTGGAAAGGCAATGCCTATGGGGGAGAAGATGAGTAAAAAAGAGAGGGGAGCCCCTTAGGCTGAGCAGGGAGGGGAAAAAGAAATAAAGGGTAAAATTTAGGGTCCTGTAGGACATAAGGAAATTCAAAAAATCAAAGAACACACTCTTCCTTGCACTCTTCTCCCACCATAAGTTGTTCATTAAACTAACCTTTGCTACACTGACAGAAGACTCTTGAACTAGAATTCTCATCAACCACTCCAAATGGCCATCTCTGTCTGAGAAATGCAGGGGCATAAGCAGTTCTTATTATACTAAATTACTACATAAAAGGAAACTGAAAATGAGAATCAAAGCTCTTCAACTCATAAAAATGTCCTCTCCTGAAAGCAAACTATGAAGCAGAAACTGTAAGCAACATTCTAAATTGATTTAAATATTCCCAAATAAACATTTGGAGATATGGGGGAAAAACATATCCTGAATAAGCCCCAAACTAAGAACAGAAATGGACCGAGAACAAGAAGAAGTGACATAAAAGCTGAGTAAACTCAAGGAAGAAAGAAGAAATAGGCAAAATCATATTAGAAATAAAAACTAAAAAAGTGCCCAAAGAAGAACAAATTATAATAAATCTTAATTAGGGTGATGGTAGTGGGGATAGTTGTAGGGGGCAAGATTACAAGATGATGAAAATGAGGCAAAGAAATAAAGGGGCAGCTGGATGGCAGAGTCAGTTAAGTATCCGGCTCAGGTTGTGATCTCAGGATGGTGAGACTGAGCCCTGCAATGGGCTCTGTGCTGAGCACAGAGTTTGCTTAGAGTTCTCTCTCCCTTTCCCTCTGCCCACCTGCCCTTCCCTCCCCTGCCTTCAAACAAATAAACCAATCTTTAAAAAAAAAAAAAAAAAGTAAAAATGGCCAGAGAGATAAAAAATGAAAGATGGGCAAAGAAAATTCAATATACATATAATTGGAGTTGCTAAGAAGAAAAAAATCAAACAGTGGATCATATTGAACTAATACTTAGAACTACAATATGGGGTGCCTGGGTGGCTTGGTCAGTTTAGAGTCTGACTCTTGGCTTCAGCTCAGATCATGATCTCATGGGTTGTGAGATCGAGCCCTGATGGGTTCCATGCTCAGTAAGGGCTGTGCTAGAGATTCTCTCCCTCTGTCCCCCACACCCAACTCGCAGGTGCGCATGCACGTATATGCTACCTTTCTCTCAAATAAATTAATTAATTAAAAAAACTACAATCCAAGGAAACTTCCAGAAATAAAAGAAAACGAAGATATCTTAGTAAAATTATTTCAACTTAAGAAAATAGGTTCATGTTTTACATACTAAAAAAAAAATATTAAGGATGGGGGGAAATCAAATAGAATACAAACAGAATCTAACTGCTCTTCAAATGAGTAACATAAGCATGGTGAAGCAGATTTTTTAAAAAAGTAACATTTGAACACATTTCAATTATATATTCTCAGATGACAGACAAAAAGCTGTAAATAATACTGAACTTTAGTTCGTTTTTTCGCAATAGTATGCTTTTTTTTTAAATATTTTATTTAGTTATTTAGAGAGAGAGAGGGGCAGAGGGAGAAGCAGGCTCCATGCAGGGAGCCCGACACGGGACTCGATCCCGGGTCTCCAGGGTCACACCCTGGTTGGAAGGCAGCGCCAAACCGCTGAGCCACCCGGGCTGCCCTGCAATGGTATGCTTTAATAATTCTGAAATTATTCGCAGTACATTCTAGTATTGAGCAAAACAAATACATTGATGAAAACAGGAGCTGGGTTTCTCACTGTTAGAGAAAGGAACTAAAAACATGAGAAGAGTAAGACTACAATGAGTCCTTTAGTGTGGGATCAATGTGGATTAAAGGTGACTAGAAATTCTTTGATGTTTACATTAACAGATGAGACCTATTCTTCTCTTGAACCTGTGTTTCACTTGTAACTAACAGAACATAGTGGATATGATGCTGCATGATTTCCAATGGCCTGTCAAAAGAAATTGCAGCTTCTGCATTGGTTTCTTAGGATGAGACCATTCCAAGACCTCTTGAATGCTCCCTCCCATATCCCAGTACCATGCTATAAGAAACCCAAGCTAGGAGCAGCTGGCTGGCTCAGTCAGTAGAGCTTGCAACTCTTGATCTTGGGATTATGGGTTCGAGCCCAATGTTGAGTACAGAACTTACTTAAAAAAAAAAAAAAAGAAAGAAAGAGGACTAAGCTATAGGTAAATAAGAAACACACACTATTTTAAAGAAATTATACCAGATTAAATAAAATGGGACAGAGTTACCTTTGAAAGCCCTGAACTTCTAAGGACAGAGAAAAGACGGAGAAAGCCATTCAGCTGCAAACATGGGCCTCTACTTATGGAAAAGAAAGAATGATCTAGATGAGAAAATTCAAAGCCAGGAAGAATCATTCCCAGGGAGAATTAAGTCCTAATCAAGGAACTAGCCACGCATGCATGACTGGATATCAGAAATGCTTCTACATACCACACATTTTCCCCCTTTTTGAATGGGAGTATAATGTAGTTATCCTATCTCTGCTCACCATTGTATGTGTACCTCTTTAGTTCATAGATCTTCAGAGTGACCTGTGAAATTGTGCTCAAGGAGCACCACCTGCACCTAGACTTGATTTAGAAGAAATATTGAATGGACCTTGAGCCTGAGTCTGATGCCATGAAGGGATAAATCTTTTAGGGATGAGTATATTTTGCATGTGGGAGGAATGTAAATAACCTGTGGCCAGAGGGCAGACACTATAAATGACTGCAAATTATTTGGGACTCCCCTCATGTAGAGGTGGGTCTAATTCCTCTTCCTTTAGATTTGGGCTGATCTTAACAGCCTTCTAGTAACCAATAGTATGCAGCAGAAGTGACACTACTCAACCTCAGAAGATTTCCTGCCTTTTCTGCCTTGATCTCTCAAAATGTTCATTCTATGGACATTTCCACTTGAAACTGTGCTGCCATAAGAAACCCAAGCCCCATAGAAAGGCTATATGTAGTTGTTCCAGCTGAAAGTGGCAGATAACAGCCCCCATTCGTGACCGCCAGTCATGTGAGTGAACCATCTTGGATATCCAATTCAGTCAAGCCCAGTCAAAACCTGACTGTAATCGAAGGAGACTCCAAGTAAGAATCATGCAAACTAAACCTTTCCAGAATTCCTAATCCAAAAAACATAAAATAGCTGCTGTAAGTCACTAAATTTTGAGGTAAAACTTTGTTATGCAGCAGAATGTACCTGGAAAAATTAGAATTGGAGTTCTCAGTATGAGTTCATTGCTTTTAATAATTTACATGTAAGTATAAAAAAATATACAGGCTTATATGGGTTCTCTCTGCTAAGAGAACCTAGAAACAATGTTATCTCTCTCCGGTAATGAACATATTTGCCCCTAAAACTTAAGTTTCTAAAATACCATTCCTTACCAAAAAGAACTAGGGCTTTTTGGAAAAATGGTTGATTCTATGACCAAGGCAGACTGAACGTGGAACATCCTGTGCAAGAGTACTAGTTATTAATTTTATTGTTTCTCAGCTCCAAATCATTCTTCATTGTCCTGTTGGAGATAGATACTAGGGCTAGATCTTGTCAACATTTCTTCTTTGCCAGCTGCTACAATGTTAAGTTTTGCCAATAGAGGGCACTGGAGAGACTGTGGGAGGAAGGGGCTTCTCTTTCCTGGCTTTGAGGTGTCTTTTTCTTATGGCTCCTGCAGTGCTAGTCCGGGATGCTGAATATCTGGTGGCACTCATTCCAGTGAGTTTCAACAGCATCCCTGCAGACAGCTTTCCAACATGTTCCATGGGTATTCAAGCTAGTTTCCAGGCAAGCACACTCCAGGGAGTTTCCTGGCAGTTTTGCTGGCATCCTAGTGGGTAGCTTCCTGCCTGCCAGCCTTGGCTGCGACACAATGAACTTACTGCTGTCCAGTGAGCCACAGCCACACCCTCTCCAAGGAAGTATGACTCCCATCCACAGTGGGTGGCATGGGGTGAGAGTGGACACTCTTCTCATTATTCCTTCCCATGGTTGATGAAGTTCTGTTTACCCCTTAGAAGCCATCTAATCACCTTGGTTACTAGTTACTAACTCTTTATATTAAACTTTCCTCTTCAAATTACTGTGTGGTTTCTGTTCCTAATAATTAGACCCTGACAGATATATCCCAAAAGTAAGAAAATCCAATAATGATGGGGACAGCTCAAAAAGACAAATTGGCCTCCATCTAGAAAAGGATAACTAGAATAGTATATATAATAAATGCCCATTTACCCACTCAGCTTTAATAGTTATTGATCCATGGCTTCCAATATTTTTATTGTCTTAAATATTGCTTTCAGTATTTTAAAGTAATGCTCCATCTTCTATTGGAATCCTTCCACATGTGATATTTTGTCTTCAGGATAAATTCCCAGAGGTGGGAATTGTTTTCAGTCATTTGGGAAAGAAATTGCCTAAAACTAGATCCTTTAATGTGAATAAAAAAAAAAAAAAAACAGAAAAGAGAAACTCTTGGAGGTGAAGAGAGCTGTTTTCAAATATGTGAAAAACTACCAGAGGAACAAAGAAAATAGAATAGTTCTAGAGGGCAGTACTTATAATGTAATGGTGGACACTGTAGGAAGGCAACAGTTGCCTCATTAGATTGGGGTGCTTTACACTACAAGTGTTCAAAAATAGAACTACCTAATTTTTGAGGTTGTAAACTCCTTGTCAGTGAAGGCGTGCAAAGGTGGGAAGACCAAATGTCAGGGATGCTGAGGAAGGGACTTCTGTGAAAAGGGTGAGGAGGCAGGATTCTGCAAGTTCTCACATTCCCTGTACTTCAGGGGACTCTTGAGATGGCCTAATTTCTAAGAGGTGCTTTTTCTCTTTTTGGCAAGCCTTGTATTGTAACAGATGCACTATTTCTATTCAAGTATTGTGAGTATACACTTCTGTTTCTACAGTTAAATGTTTTTGCTTCTATGATCAGAGTTTAAGGAGATAATATTACAAAATATCATGAAGGGTAAAAAATGGTTTGTTTGCTCACCTTTGCTGATGAAACCATTTGCTTGGCCTGGCGTCTTGATAAATGATCAATTGTTCTTATTAGAACTTCAGGATTTGCGTTAGCTAAGTGCGTCAGACTTTTATAACCTGCATTGTATAACTGTTTTGCTCGACCCTGAAAAGTATTACAAAAATCATTAGGGCCAGAATTTGAGATTAGGAAAAAATAATCAAGTGTTATTGAAGGGAAAAGTTTCACATGCAAGAGACAGAAATAGACTAGGTAATAAGAAATCAATTATTCGATTTCGAAGTAATCATTTCAAAGTTATTAGAAGAGGTAACACATCTGAACCCTGAGAAATTTCAAATTAATTAATTAATTAATTAATTAATTAATGACAGAGAGAGAGAGAGAGAGGCAGAAACAAAGGAGGAGGGAGAAGCAGGCTCCATGCCAGGAGCCCGACGTGGGACTCGATCCCGGGACTCCAGGATCGTGCCGTGGGCCAAAGGCAGGTGCTAAACCGCTGAGCCACCCAGGGATCCCCAACCCTGAGAAAATTTAAAAGATAAATTTGGGTGGTTCCAATCTGAGTGCAAGATAGCTCTCTGAGCAGCGTTAAGTTAACTGATGTGTGTTGCAACCAGGAATGAGGAATCCATTAAGGCATTCAGGGAGGGGCATTATTTTAGACACCCAATCACAATGTTCTAGTCCAATATCCTTAAAATGTTTTCACCATCTACTTAGGGCACTTGGGGAACACGGGTGTGTGTGTTCCCGGGCAGAAAAATGCTTCTGATTGAAGGACTGAATGACAGAATAAGCTGAAATCAACAGCTGGCTAAAAACAGTAAGCTGTGGGACGTGTGGGTGGCTCAGAGGTTGAACATCTGCCTTCAGCTCAGAGTGTGATCCCAGGGTCCTGGGATCAAGTCGCACATTGGACTCCTTGCAGGGAGCCTGCTTTTCTCTCTGTCTGTGTCTCTGCCTCTCTCTGTGTCTCTCATGAATAAATAAACTCTTTAAACAAAACATAACCCAGAAAGCTGAGAAACCAGGTAAGGATACTCTCTTCTCACTCCCTTAGGAAATGGAAATAAGCCTTGTTCCCACCGAATCACTACTTCCTGAAACAAGCAGGGAATCTAAACTGACAGAAGGTAAAATTCTTCATTGGAGTGGAAGAAGAAAGAGATGCTAAAGACAAATGGGGAGTTTCATTTTTATCCCTACTGTTTTTCATATACACTTGGGGAGTCTCATTTTTATCCCTACTGTTATTTTTTTTTCACAAATGTGATTTTTTTTTTCCCCATCAGGACGGCTTCCAGATTTACTAGCGATTTCTGGGAGGCCATAACACTTTATTAAAAAACAACAATAACAAAACACCCTCTCATGACAAATGAGGAATAAGGCTGTTTTTACTTACCTGTGGTATGACTTATTTTATGAAGAAGTCTTTTACTATTTAATTAGTAAAATCTGATTTTTCTGTTAGTTGAAATCATCTCAGTTGGGAAACTGGGAAACTACTAACCTCTAAAACTCCAGTCACTTCCATGAGAGGGATTAGCTCTGCCTTTACACAGTAAGTCAACTTCTTGGTAAGTTCTACCAAAAGGGCTCTATACACCCAAAACTCCTCAAGTTCCTGCAGAATATAAAGAAATATACGGAATTGAAATCTGGTAAGTTATTTCAAAGTTTGATTGGCGTGGTAGGGGGTTCAGAGAGGATGTTCCCTGATACAAGTTCTGAAACTTGATTAAGCCAGAGATGAACAATAATTCCAAACAAAATTAGCATAAGGAAACATGGCAGAGACTGAGGAATTTGATGACGTAGTTTTGGGATAAGGAAGAAGACTGAAGATTGACAAGAGTTCTATTCATTTTTAATCAAAACACCAGCAAGTGAATGCATAGTTTTTCTTTCCCAGATGACTGAAAACAATTCCCACCTCTGGGAATTTACCCTGAAGACAAAATATCACATGTGGAAGGATTCCAATACAAGATGTAGCAATACTTTAAAATACTGAAAGCAGTATTTAAGACAATAAAAATATTGGAAGCCGTGGATCAATAACTGTTAAAGCTGAGTGGGTAAATGGACATTTATTATATTATACACTTCCCATGGTTATCACCATGAGAGATACTCCTACACAGTCTATATCAATGGAGAACTGTTGTTTTAAGAGTTGATTCTAAATACTTGTAACTATTAGTGATGGTTCTAAGAGTAGGGGAACTAAGTGCTTTCAACTTGTTTGCTATATATTTTGAGTGATTCTGTCATTTTTGTAGCTTTACCATAAGTTAGTATATAGGATTCTTATAAGCAGAAAAAACCAGATGTATTTTATTTATTTATTTTTATTTTATTTTTTTAAAGATTTTATTTATTTATTCATGAGAGACACACACACACAGAGAGAGAGAGAGAGAGAGAGAGAGAGAGGCAGAGACACAGGCAGAGGGAGGAGCAGGCTCCATGCAGGGAGCCTGATGTGGGACTCGATCCCAGGTCTCCAGGATCACGCCCTGGGCCAAAGACGGTGCTAAACCGCTGAGCCACCCGGGCTGCCCAACAAATGTATTTTAAATAAGTTTTGAGCGCTCTGTATTAGTAGAACAATGAAGAAATAATGACTAACCAGTTTATGAGTTTAGCAGCAATTAAAACAAAAAGATGCACAAGGCATGTGTCATCTAGTTAATGGAATTACCTCACAGAAATGCAGCACACAAGAGGAGAATGAGGCAGCTCCAGTGAGAAGACTTTGTATATAGCCTCGAGGCATATTAAATTTTTCAGACACACTCCAAATGTTGGTCTCTTTGAGCAGGGTATAAAGAACAAAAGACAGGTACAGTCTGTTGACAATGTCCTTGTCCACCTTCTAGAAAGACACAAACAAATTTATGTACTGGACCTGCTAAGAATGTAGCTTATGTTGAATTTGGACAAAAGGTAATGTGAATGAAGTTATACGACAGGAAAGTCAGACTAGAATGCTTCCACAGAAATAAAACTAAGATTTAGCATATGTACTTTCAGATGATCATTTTTCCAAATATAAAAAAAAAAGAAAATAAGCCAAATTATTTCCAATTTATTTATTTATTTCCAACTTAAACTCCCTTCTACAGGGGAGCTGTAGTGGGTTGAATTGTGTCTGCCACCCCATACCTTTTTGTGGTACCTGTGAAAGTGACCTTACTTGGAAATAGAATCTTTGCAGATGTAATTAGCTAAAGATCTTGAGATGAAATCATCCTGGATGTACAGTGGACCCATTAGGGCTCTTTATTAAGTGACAGGTGTCTTTTTAAGAGGAAAGGACACAGAATGACATAGACAAGGCAATGTGAAGATGGCAACATCCAATGGAGACACTTGAGGGATACATTTACAAGCTAAGGAACACCAAAGGTTGCCAGCAACCACCAAAAGCTAGGAGAAAGGCAACATATTTTCCTCCTCAGAGCCTCCAGAAGAAGCCATCTTGATCTCAGACTTTTGGCCTCCTGAACTTCGAGAGAATAAATTTCTGTTGTTTTAAGACACTCAGTTTGTGCTAATTTGTTAGGGTAGCCCTAGGAAAAGAATAAAGGAAGGAGCTGGGAAGCCCTTTACATTTACTGTGGTAATTATAGGTTGCATATATTTGTGAATGTAATGAGACAAATGCATTTATTTAGATAGGTATGTTAATAATAAGCTTGTCCATATTGTAAACTAAGTAAATATTAGATTCTATGATTTCCACATGGTCATGATAAATAATTAATGTCTCCAAAGTTAAAACACTGAAAGAGAAAAATGCTACCTGTAGTTGACAATTTCTGTGTAACTGCTTTTGCTTGCAGTATCTAGTGGTCAGTTTTTGTATAAAGTATTTCATAGCCAATATCAAGCTAACTTAGAAACTGAGTAACTCATGCTTGAAATCAGAGGAAAGAAAGGATAAACTGAAAATAGAAAAAGTGGGTATAAAATACAAAATTATATCCCTAATGATGGTAAAAGAATGGGATGAGAACTTATAGTGGCATATCAAAGACTGTATGAATTACAGATTCTATGAGTTGATACTTTTTAAAAAGTATTAAGCTGAAAAATCATGATAGTTGAATTGCTAATAGGGAGAGACTGCTTTTTAATTTCCCAATTTTAGTGTACCTTCATTATTAACTATAATTTGAGTCAATGTAGATTTTGCTTAGAATGTATTTTCTAAGCTAAGAAAAATGATTTAATTATATTACATGGCAAGATAAGATGCTTTATGCCAATTTCAAGATCTTTTACAAGAAATACTTAAAGGTGGGAATGTCTTTTTCAATGTATAAATAAATCTGATTTTAAGTAAATATGCTCTCTAGAATTTAAATCAGCTGAACATTTATCGACTATATTACATTAAAATGTAACAAAAATAAATTGATTCAAGTTTAAAAAGATGCATTAGTCTAAAAAGATTTTGCAGATGTTTATTATTTGATAATGAGTTCCAAATTAATATGATTTTGTTTTAATTTATATTTTAAAGTTGTATATAAAAGGTTTAAGAAATATTTTTATTTAACATTTTGAACATCTAAACAAAATGTATGCATTTCTGAGGTAAAGGACTCAATCAAAATACTGTGATAAGATAAACATTAAAGTACTACACCGACATTTATAATTTTATGATTCAGCAGTACGTAGGACAGGGCATCATTCAATTCAAATGTGTGTAGACACCATCTTCACTTTTCAAAATGAAATTAGTAATATTTACGTAAATTTAAAGATATGGAGGAAATGGCAGGTAAGATAATTGGGTTTCAATAAAAATTGGATTACCAACAAAATTATAAATATAAAAAGTGTATTATAAGGTGGAAAATATTAACTTAAGGAATTTGAAGCATGTTTGCCAAAAATTATTTCCATTTCTCTTAAAGTTAGTGTATTAGACACTTGCTTCATATTTGTTGACTAAATTTCAAAACACTAAAATATAAGAATATTATACAAAAAGGCATTAATTTATCAACTTCAACCTTCTACAGAGCTCTATGTACTTGAAGTACTAACTAGACTGGGAATTCTTTAAGGACAACAAAACCCAACAACAACAAAAACCTCAAACCGAACCTATCTTAGAATCCCTAATACCAAGTAGAATGCCTAATAAAAAGTTTCTAGGTCAGGGGGGCCTGGCTGGCTCAGTGAGAGGGGCATGTGACTCTTGATCTTGGATCATGAGTTCAAGCCCCATGTTGGGTGTAAAGATTATTTTAAAAAACAAGTTTCTAGAAAACTCATTTTTTCCCCTTGAACTTATTTCAGGATTATATACTATCATAAAAACATTTAATAAATATTTTACAATTTTTATAAGCCATAAGTAGCCTAAGAAAAATAGATTAATAGGGTTTACCTTTTCCTATGATAAGAAGCTTACATGTGCATGACAGAGTGTTTCAGAAATGCAAAGGTATACACACAAAAAAGGCCATCACACCATTCAAAAATAAATACTGCTTTTAAAAAATGTCCAAATTTCTGCTCCTCAAATGTTTTAAATAGTAAAATGGGAATTATATTAATTTAAAGGAAAAAATATGAAACAAAAAGACCAAATCAACAAAAGCCAATGATACAACAGCATTAATTCTGCTAAATTAACTTGGTTATTTAGGGAGAGAAAAAAAGACTATGGTACCTTCTTTATAGGTTGACCTGATGCTTTCTTCCCAATAAAGTTTTCAGAGACTCCAAGACGAGCAGCTACATTTTGTTCTGCTGGACTAAGCTGGCTAAACTACATTTAAAAAGAGTAAACAGAGAAAAATCAAATTGTAACTTAAAAAAAAAAAAAGATTTATTTATTTGAGAGAGAGAAAGCATGTGGTGAGGTAGGGGGGCAGAAGGAGAGGGAGAATTTCAAGCAGACTCCCTACCGAGTGTGGAGCTCGACTCTGGGCTCAATCCCACGACCCTCAGATCATGACCTGAGTCAAAATCAAGAGTAGGATGCTTAGCTGACTGAGCCACCTAGGCACCTTTCAAATTGTAACTTTTAAAAATCTGCCATTTGAACCAAATTTAATATTTCCTGTGATATCACATTATCATGGTTTTAAAGGATATGAAAAAACACAAATTTTACTTATACGTATTGTAAAGCTCAAAAAATGTATTATTAAAACATAACATATTTTAGTAGAATACTTAAAGGCATGATCACAAGCACTGTGACTATGGACTATGGTTTCCATGGTCCATGTGGTTATGTTTAATATTGAGAGGTCTGCGGGGAAGAAGGGGAGGGAAAGCTTTTGACAGTAACTGCATTATATAGGACCACTTAAAAAACTTAGTTACAATTTAAAATATGACATTAAAAAGAAATTAATTTCCTGCAAATTCTGCCTACCATGTGTTCATGCATCTGCTCTGTTCATAGTAAAATCCTAACAGACTGTACTCTACCACCTGGTTTTGTAACAAGTAGGATCCAGCTCCACCCTCCTGTTAGTGATAAAACTGATATTGCTTCTCAGGTAGTTAACATCACTGAGTTTAGTTATTTTGCTTGGCTCCGATAGAGCTTTCATGTAATTAAAATCTCAAAAAAAAAAAACAAAAAACAAAAAACAAAAAACCCCAGCTTTCATGGTTTTCTTCACATTGTAGGCATCGTAAAATGGAGTGGCCCCTAAAACATAACAGTAACTATCTTCGGGGAATGAGATCAGGGATGATCCCCTTTTCTTTTCTGCACTTTTTGTTATTTTTTCGATAATGAACATGTTTATATTTAACAGAAAAGTAATATTTAAGTGACATAAACTGAAAATGCTATTGCCATATTACTCTTCTAAAAACTGACACATCAAAGGCCCAATTACAAACATATTTTAGTAGAGAAAAAAAGTGAATAATCACTTAATAAAAATTGCATCATCATTAATAAATAAGACAGACCATACTGAAGAGCCTTCTATTCTCACCTGCCTGAAGTATATCATCCAGTCGGGGTCACAGTGAGAAGCCATGTCATAGGGAGTTGTTAAATAAATCAGGTGAAGAAGGCTTTCAAGAACAAGTCCTTCAAGACCTTTCTTCAGATCTCTGTACAGAATGTCACAATAAGCCAAATCTATAGTCCCTAAAAGAAAGATCAAAATTTCATCTTTCATAATTACCAAAGGGGGAGAAAGGTGATTTTTGAAAATGTCTTGTTGAGAAGTTACCTAAGCATAGCAAAAAGTCTTCAAAATCTCTTAACTCCAGCATAGTTAACACACAGTTTTATAGTTTCCAGTGTACAATGTAGTGATTCAGCAATTCTAAACATTACTCAGTGCTCAGTGCTCATCATGATGAGCGTAATCTTAATTCCCTTCACCTATTTTACTCATCCTTCCACCAAAATCCCTTCTTATGTAATTTATCACAACTATTTTGGAGGTCATTTTGACAGACCTCCAAATGTTTGATACATCAACATTTAATAAGATTACTCCTTCTGACCCAATTTTTGTTTTTGGAAATCTAACCCAGAGAAACATTTCCACACATACCCAAAAATAGATATAAACAGAGATGCCCGTTGCAGTTTTGTCTATAGTTGAGAAAAATTAAAAAAAAAAAAACAACAGTGCAAATGTCCATCAATAGGGGAATGGTTAATTAAATTACAGTATCTAGACTATGGATGATTATAGTAGTAAAAGAAAAATGAGGTAAATTTAAAGGGACTGACATGTTAAAGTACTCCTTGATATTTTAAGTAAGAAAAGCTGCCAAAAAATACTTACAACTAGACTTTATCTTAAAAATAAACTACAAAATAACATAAATGTATATACATGTATATATATAAAATCTATACACATATACATACAAACATACATATATAATATACATATACATATTTATCTGTATGCATAATCATATGTGGAACAATACACATCAAATTGTTAACAGTGGTTGCCTCTGGAGGGTGGAAATGGGACAGGAGAATGGGATTTTCCATTACATAATTCTGAGTTCTAAGGTATTTTTTAAATGACAGACATGTATTATTTTTCATTAAGTAAATTATGATGTAGCCATTAAGAAAAAACTATTCCCTGTCAAGAAACAATTTTTAAGGAAAAAAGCAAGTTCTGGAACAAAACCAATGATTGTTTACTTAAAAACAAAAGCTTAAAAAAATCTTAAACTTGTATATTAAGTATATGTTATGCATTGAAATGAAATGTACAGAATATGTCTGAAAAGACATATACCAAATTGCTATTCTTGGTAGGATATTAAGATTTGTATGATTGTTAGTAGAGGGGTGTGTGAAGGGGGATGATAATCTTTTTCCCTCTAAATACTTCTGGAGTATCCTAAATTACTTGTAATTCAAAACATCTTTCAGGGTGTCTAAGTAGCTCAGCCAGTTCAACTCTTGATTTTGGCTCAGGTCATGATCTCAGGGTTGTGAGATGGAGCCATGGGTCAGGCTCATGGTGGGTGTGGAGCCTGTTTAAAATTCTCTCTTCCCCTCCCCCTCTGCTCCTCCCTACTTCCTCTCTAAAAAAACAAAAACAAAAAACCCAATACTTTTTCAACTTTTTATTTATTTATTAAAAAACCCTTTTTAAAAAGTAAGTTCTACACCCAACATGTGGCCTGAACTCAGAACCCTGAGACGAAGAGTCACATGCTCTACTGACTGAGGCAGCCAGGTGCCTCCATTTTTCAACTTTTAAAAGCGAAAGTAGTATAACAGCTTGTAAGATTAATGTTATTAATATGAAATTAGTTCCAATTTAAAGGAAGGGAATGATTTAACTTCTTTTTTTCCCGGCACATTTCCTCAGAAACTTAGGTAAACTCTTACCCTTAAAAGAAGCTCGTCCCAGTTTTGTAATATGAAAACTATATTGGATCTCTTCTTTGGGCTTATCAATAGTGTCTTTTTGTAGAAGTCCTTTTTCTGTCAGATATCTAAGTGATTCAATGGTTATGTCCCACAGACTTTTTTCTTGCAATAAAATCTTTTGCTGAACACCAAAAAATGTACCACACATAAAGTGATATATGTCATCAAGATTCGTTGCAATCTGAAACAATTCAAGACATCATTGGAACATTTTCCTTAAGACATCGTTTTGAATGCATGTTAATCTCCATACCGCAAAGCTACTGAAATAAATTAGCATAAAACATACTTGCACATATAAAGATAATTTTATAAGAGGCATTTTAAAATTAACAAGAAACAATTTTAAAAAGTTATCATATTCATACTTTTAATGAAAACATCTACATATTTTTCACCCAAAACTCCTCACATTTTTAAATAATTTTTCAGTGTCTCCAAAGCTGTGCTTTGTTTATTCTCCAACCAATTATCACTAATTCTCACTCAGCCTCCTTCAGAAATCCTCCCTTTACCCCTTTCCATCCACCTGTGAAAGTATTCTTTAGCAATAAAAGTTGTATTAAAAAAAAACCACCACACACGTGCAAAACACAACTGAAAGTCTCCACTGAAACAGGATCAGGCAATATTTCCCAATATATACCTAAAAATATATAGCAGTCTTCTCTTTTTGTCTCTCTCATTCCTGTTCTTTTGCTGCCTTTCTCTCTCCCCCTCTTAGTCACTATTTAAAACTTATAGTGGCAATCATTAAGTAATACTCAACCCTCCATTTGGTATTCAGATATAAAGTTAATGCTGAATTAGGATAATTTTATATTAGCCAATTTCAATGAAATCATCATGTTCTACTAAAATACAGTCAATCAATAAATGTATCACTCATTCTTACAGTTCTGATGATATTTTTTCAACTGGAAAACTTAAGTAATTATTTGATACTAAACCAATATAAGAGTTAAAAAAATATGATGAGGCAGAGACATTTACTATTATTTTCTTTTTAATAAACTCAATTTAAAAAATGTTTGATGCTTTTTATTATTATTATTATTATTTTTAGAGAGTGTGCACAAGTGGGTGAAGGAGGGGCAGAGAGAGGTTCCATGCTTAAGCAGGTTCCATGCTCAGCATAGAGCCTAATGTGGGGCTTGATCTCCCAACTCTGAGATCATGACCTGAGCCAAAATCAAGAGTAGGATCCTTAACTGACTGAGCCACTCAGGCACCCAAAACTCCTTCTTAATATAATGAGGCTAAAACGGCAGTTTTAAGGTATTCAAGACTGATACTCAGTTTGTAGATTACCGATGAACTTAGCTGCTGAATTGTTTTCTACTTGATTGATTATAGTTAACATTAAGGATATTAAAAAAAAAAACCTTTACTTGATCCTTCTAGCTACCATCATGTTATCTTTCTATCCCTTTGTGAAAAACTTGCAGATACAGTGATTTAGACCCACTGCCTCTGCCTCTGGCCTCCACAGCTTCTCAAAGCTGGATTCTTCACTGTTGCCCCAACCTTCAGGTTCACCCAGGCCCAACTCCAAAGTCAACCAATTCATTCATTCATTCATTCATTCATTCATTCATTCATTCAAGTATTTGCAGAGCACCAACCACATGCCAGGCATTGTGTTAGGTAGACACTGGGATTCAGGGACAAATAACAATAAATATGGATTCTGCTTGTACAGGTTTTACATTCCTGTGGGGTAAAATCAGCCAAATCACTGCACTAACCAGAATATAATTACAAACTGATAGGTTCTACTAAAGCAATGTGGTTCTATAAAGATACAATAAACTGACTGGACTCAGAGGCACAGGGAGGCTTCCCTGAGGAAGCGATGGTTATGTGGGTAAGGGTGAGACAGGAGATGGGGTGGGGAAGATGCATGAGTCTCACACTTAGTGAGCACTGGGGTGGGAAGGAACATCACGCGCTTGAGAACCGAAAAGGCCCGTATACCTGGAGTGCAGAGTGCAAGGAGGCTGGTGAGAGATGAGGATGGAGACAGGCAGAGGCCAAATCTACCACGGCAGACCATGGTAAGGAATTTGGGCTTAATCTTAAAGGCAATGGAAACCACCACTGACAAATTTTAAGGAGAGAGGGGTAATACATTCTGAGTTTCCTTTGGCAAGATCAGTCTGTGAAGAGTTATTTGGAGAGGATGTGGGAAAGCATGGCAGAATGGATGCAAGGCAGTCAGCCCAGTTAGGGGACGATCAGAACAATTCCAGGCAGAAGACTGCAGGAGCATGGGCCCCAGTGTGCCAGTGCAGGGAGCAGGCTGCAAGCAGCCTATATTACCTGCCTCGTTTTGCCTCAGATTCTTTTTACAAAAGGGGAGTCACATTACTTAATTCAAAGGTATGCAAAGATCAGAGATTAAATACATAATGTGTCTAACAGGGTGTGGCTGTGATAAATAGATGATAACCGGAGGCTCCCTGAATCCTATGGCCCAACCACTGTTACGTTCTCTCATCAATTCCTAGAGTTTCCTTCTCTCCACCAAATCACCGGCCTAGTCTCTCCAGGGGTGCTCATCTGTACCCTCCTGCCCTGACCTCACTGCCCAACTCACAGACCTCACGCCTCTTGCTTCTCACTTCTCTTCCACCTGATTGGTTCTGTCTGGAGGACTTCTGCTTCATTTCCAGCTCTAAAGGTTTTCCTGCTCTCCACCATGTCTAGAATTCCAGCATTCTTCCACAACTAGAGCCCTGTTGTGAACCCCCACTTCATGGTGTAAGAGGAACCCTGCTGGCCTGGCATCCTCCTGACTGGGTCCAGTTTCTTGAGTTCTGCCTCCTATGGGCAAGCTTGGAACAACAGCTGCCTACCTGCTAATCTCCTGAACCAACTGCTGCCTGATTTCTTACTGGGGCACTTCAACTGTTAAAACAGAATTTAAACGCAACTGTCTGTGCCCCATAGATCTTGTATTGCCAGGTCGAGAAAACCATATCCCTGTGGCCAAGTCAGTTTTCCTAGTCTCCCTGTTACCTGAGCACTTCCATCCTAAGGGAAGTTCCAACTCCCTCCCAATTCCACTAGTTTTGCTGAGTCCTAACTCATATACATACTTGTCAGATGTATCCATTATGAATATTTCCTCTGGGCCTTCTCACTTTTTTAGCAATGTCTTTTGAAGATAATCGTAAAAATTATGATGAAGTCTATTTAATTGAATTTTTCCCTTCATGGTTTATGTTTTTCGTTTCCTGCATAAGAAATCTTAACCCAAGGTAACAAAAAATTTTCTCCTATATGTCCTAGAAATTATATTTTTAGCTTTTAAGTTTAGGTCTATGGTCCATTTTGAATTATTCTGGACAAAATTAGAGTGAGGTAAGAGTATAGATTAATTTTTGGTTTTGTTCTATATAGATACCTAGTTGTTCCAGCACCATTTATTGAAAACAAAACAAAACAAAACTATCCTCTGTCCATTTAAATATCTTGACAGTTTTGTTGAAAATTGATCATTTTGATCATTTATAGGGGTGCCTGGCTGGCTCAGTCAGTGGAGCATGCAACTCTTGATCTTGGAGTACTGAATTCGAGCCCCATGTTGAGTGCAGAAATTATTTTTTTAAAAAATTGATCATGTATGTGTGGGCCTAATTCTGGACTTATTGATCTATTGGTCTATATGAACCTTGCACCAATATCACACTGCCTTGATTACTGAAGCTTTATAGTAAGTCTTTTTTTTTCATCATTCTTTGATTTGATTTTATTTTTTTTTATAAATTAATTTTTATTGGTGTTCAATTTACCAACATACAGAATAACACCCAGTGCTCATCCCGTCAAGTGTCCCCCTCAGTGCCCGTCACCCATTCACCCCCACCCCCCGCCCTCCTCCCCCTCCACCACCCCTAGTTCATTTCCCAGAGTTAGAAGTCTTTATGTTCTGTCTCCCTTTCTGATATTTCTCACACATTTCTTCTCCCTGCCCTTATATTCCCTTTCACTATTATTCATATTCCCCAAATGAATGAGAACATACACTGTTTGTCCTTCTCCGGTTACTGTGGCCAAGTTCAAAAAGGGTGTTGCCTGAGTTCTCCTCTAGGATTTTGATGGAATCTTGTCTCACATTTAGATCTTTCATCCATTTTGAGTTTATCTTTGTGTATGGTGCAAGAGAGTGGTCCAGTTTCATTCTTCTACATGTGGATGTCCAATTTTCCCAGCACCATTTATTGAAGAGACTGTCTTTCTTCCAGTGGATAGTCTTTCCTCCTTTATCGAATATTAGTTGACCATAAAGTTCAGGGTTCACTTCTGGGTTCTCTATTCTGTTCCATTGATCTATGTGTCTGTTTTTGTGCCAGTACCACACTGTCTTGATGAACACAGCTTTATAGTACAACCTGAAATCTGGCATTGTGATGCCCCCAGATATGGTTTTCTTTTTTAAAATTCCCCTGGCTGTTCGGGGTCTTTTCTGATTCCACACAAATCTTAAAATAATTTGTTCTAACTCTCTGAAGAAATTCCATGGTATTTTGATAGGGATTGCATTAAACGTGTAGATTGCCCTGGGTAACATTGACATTTTCACAATATTAATTCTGCCAATCCATGAACATGGAATATTTTTCCATCTCTTTGTGTCTTCCTCAATTTCTTTCAGAAGTGTTCTATAGTTTTTAGGGTATATTTTGAGCACCATTTGAATGGTAAATGGTTCTCCAACCTTTTATTTTCAGGTTGTAGGTGTCCTTCTGCCTAAAATGAGTCTCTTGTAGACAGCAAATAGATGGGTCCTGTTTTTTTATCCAGTCTGAAACCCTGTGCCTTTTGATGGGGTCATTAAGCCCATTCACGTTCAGAGTTACTATTGACAGATATGAGTTTAGTGTCATCATGATATCTATTTAGTCCTTGTTTTTGTGGATTGTTCCACTGAACTTCTTCTTAAAGGGGAATTTTAAGAGTCCCCCTTAAAATTTCTTGCAGAGCTGGTTTGGAGGTCACATATTCTTTCAGTTCCTGCCTGTCTTGGAAGCTCTTTATCTCTCCTTCCATTTTGAATGAGAGCCTTGCTGGATAAAGTATTCTTGGTTGCATGTTCTTCTCATTTAGGACCCTGAATATATCCTGCCAGCCCTTTCTGGCCTGCCACGTCTCTGTGGAGAGGTCTGCTGTTACCCT